TCGGACGCTTAACCGACTGCGCCACCCAGGCGCCCCATAGACTCAGATGGTGTTTATGTGGTACCTTGTAAGCGGCCTTGTGGATAGGGCCAGTCGGTCCACTTGATGATCGGCAGACCTAACTTCCAAGAGAACGATATTTTACTCGATCATCCACCTTGTGTATTAGTAATAATAATCAGAGGGCAATAAAGAAGGAAATAAAGGATGGTCTACGTTCCTGCTTTTGTTGACAATCAGATCTGCATGGATATTCTCTGTCCAGCAGCAAAGCTCTGGGAGAATTCATGCCTTTCTGTTTCCTCTGAGCACCTACTACACAGCTCAATACAAAATCGAACGTGCTCAATAAATGGTTATCGACTGACTGGCTGTCCGTGAAGTTCCAAATTCTGTGGGTTTTGTTGCCACTTCACCGCCCTTACAGAAGGGCATGAAGAATTCCAAAAGGCACCTTAAATAGCCAAGTTTCCTTAGAGAAGTTTCATTTTAGGCAAATAATGTCACATTAGGTCAAAAGGCACTGGCTGCTGTATTTATTAAATGCGTGTCTGTGTTCCTATCACAGTTTGGCCTTTCACAAGTCCTCGGTCCTCTAGAAGTGTGCACACGGCTGTGAGAGGAGACACATCATAGTTAAGTCTTGGAACTATTGGAAAATACCAGTGGTGACATCACTGACATTCAGTATTCAGTATTCAGTAGAAAAGAATTGTTGTTATGTAACTGAAAGTTAACCAGGAGATGACTTTTATTCTTTAAGATCTTGGGGGGGGGGGCAGGAAATATCCTGAGGACATATTAAAGCAAGTGTATCAGCTAATTCGAGTATTTTGAAGGTGGAAATGCTCAAAAGTAGCTGAGATGGGCTAAACCCTGTTTAATTTTCATGTAGAATCTTAAAATAATCTCTGCCTTCTTAATAACATATCATTATGTTAAAAACACTTCTTAAAAATTTATTTTTTTCTGATAAGACGATAAATATTTTTATCTTGTGAAGCTTTGTCAGAACTTAAACACCTGTTCACTCTGTGGTACTGTTCTAACACATGGCTATGATTTAGAGCCCTCTCTCCGACCTGTGCTTTATGAAAAATTTGAATTTTTCAGTATTCTAGGCTTAACTTGTCATTTATCTATTAAAATTTATTCAAAAGGAAATGCATACTGCTTACCTTTTTTTTTTTTGCTGCTGTTTTGGAAGTGTGTTCTTGGTTTCCATTCGTAAAGCAGACCACTGTTTAACACTGGCACGCTGTTGAAGGGGACCCCCCCCCCCATGTCATTGGGAGAGTTGGTTTTAAACCTCACGTGGAATCCAGTTGTGGTGAGGAAATCTACATGCTCCTTCCTGTGCCCGTGTACCTATATGAATATACAGCCTTTAATGACGTCTCTTTCAGATTCATTCCTGAATCACCTCGTTGGTTATACTCCCAGGGTCGGCTGAGTGAGGCTGAAGCGGCTCTGTACCTCATTGCCAAGAGGAACCACAAGCTCAAGTGTACGTTCTCACTAACATATCCGGCCAGCAGAAGCTACAGGGAGACCGGAAGTTTCCTGGATCTCTTCCGTTACCGGATCCTCTTGGGGCACACGCTGACCCTGATGTTCATCTGGTAATTATATCTAGGGGGTGTTGTCTTGATCTTCAACTCAGGGTGCTAGAGGTCTGTTGATGACGTCCTTCTACAGGGTGACAGAAAACGTAACCTGATTTGTCAGCCTGACGTTTTCATGAAAACAAGTTTTGTGTCTTGATGCCTGCGTCGTGCTCACCTCTGCTTTTGCAGCACCCTCCCTGTCCAGGAGGAACTGATGGGGCCTGACAGCACGTCCATTGAACTTGAATAAACAGACAGCAGAAGCACATGTGTGCTTCTGAGCTATTTAATGTAAATATTTAAGAACCGCCCTCCCCCACCTCTAAAAAAAAGGAAAGTAAGAAAGCATATTAGAAACAGAAGAGTTTCTAAATAGGAGTTTAAAATACCAACTTTGGTTTGGCATCGAGTGGTCAGATAGCACATTCTGTGGCGTTCCCGCTTGCTCACTCACTCACTCACTCACTCACGGGGGTGGGCGGTGTTGTTCCTTGCCCTGAAGGGATCCTGGGAGTGTGAAATGACGGACCTGAAGCCACTTGAATACCTCATTCCTACCTGCCTCTCAGAATGCTCTCGGCATCCATGTAAATTGCATCGAACGACTGAAGATGGTCCCATTTGCAGAATGATGTGGGAAGGGGTCAAGTGGATGGCGGTACTTGCGTACCGTATAGACGTACCACGTTTTACTATGCTTCTCAGATGCCGCGTTTTTTACGGTGGAAGGCGTGTGCCTGCGCTGCGGCAAGCGACTCTGTTGGTACCGTTTTCCAACAGTATTTGTTCGCTTCATGGCTCTGTGTCGAACTTTGTCATTATTGTTACATTTGCCATGGTGATCTGTGATCAGTGCTCTTTAGTGTTACTACTGGGATGTTTTGGGGCACCACGAACCACACCCATAGAAGAGAGTAAACCTAATAAATGTTGTGTGTGTTCCAACGACTCCGCCGACTGGCCGTTCCCCCATCTCTCTTCTTTGGGACCCCTCTCCTCCTGGAAACATGACAATACTGGGAGTAGGCCAGTTAATAACCCTACAGTGGTCTCCAGGTGTCCAAATGAAAAGAAGAATCACACACCTCTCACTTTAAGTCAAAAGCTAGAAATGACGCAGCTTTGAGGAAGGCAGGTTGAAAGCCAAGGTAGGCCAAAAGCTAGGCTTCTCGTGCCGACCAGTTAGCCACACTGTGAATGAAGGAAAAGTTCTGGAAGGAAGTGAGAAGAGCCACTCCAGTGAACACATGAATGATAAAGCAAAACAGCCTGATTGCGGATACGGAGAAAGTTTGAGTGGTCTGGAGAGACGATCAGAGCAGCCACAACGTTCCCTTAAGCCAAAGCCTGGTACAGAGCAACAGCCTCTCTCCCATTCTATGAAGGCTGGGAGGTGAGGAAGCTGCAGAAGGAAAGTCTGAAGCTAGCAGAGGTTAGATCATGAGGTTTAAGGAAAGAAGCCATCTCCACAGTATAAAAGTGCACAGTGAAGCAGCCAGCAGGTGCTGGTATAGAAGCTCCAGCAAGTTCTCCAGAAGATCCAGCTAAGACCATTCATGCAGGTGGCTACGCTACACACTAGATTTCCACATAGATGAAACAGGCTTCGTTTGGAAGAAGATGCCATGTAGGACTTTTATGGCTAGAAAGGAGAAGTCAATGCCTGGCTTCAAAGGGCAGGCTGACTCTTGCTAGAGGCTAATGCAGTTGGTGACTTTAAGTGGAAGCCAGTGCTCAGTGACCATTCTGAAAATTCTAGGGCCCTTAAGAACTATGCTAAATCTGGGGTTGCCTGGGTGGCTCAATCAGTTAAGTGTCTGACTCTTGATTTCAGCTCAGGCCATGAACTTGGGGTTTGTGAGTTCGAGCCCCGCATCGGGCTCCTCACTGACAGGGTGGAGCCTGCTTAGAATTCTCTCTCTCTCCCTCTCTCTCTGCCCCTCCTCTGCTCACACACTCTCTCTCTCTTGCTCTCAAAATAAATAAATAAACTAAAAAAAAAAGAATTATGCTAAATCTATTCTGCCTGTGCTCTGTAAATGTAATAACCAAGAATGGATGATAGCACATCTGTTTGCAGTACGGTTTACTAAATTTTTAAGCCTGCCATTGAGACCTACTGCTCAGAAAAAAAGATTCTGGGGTGCCTGGGTGGCCCAGTTGGTTGGGAGTTGAGCTCTTGATTTCGGCTTGGGTCATGAACTCCTGGTTCGTGAGATCGAGCCCCATGTGGGGCTCTTAGCTGACAGCATGGAGCCTGCTTGAGATTCTCTCTCCCCCTCTCTCTGCCCCTCCCCCACTGTCACACACATGCTCGCTCTCTCTTTCTCTCTCTCAATGTAAATAAGTAAACCTTAAAAATGATTTTAAAAAAGATTCTTTTCAAAATATTACTGCTAATTGATAACACACCTCGTCACCCAAGAGCTCAGATGGAGATGTGCAATGAGATTAATGTTGGTTTCATGCCTGCTAATATAACCTTCTCCAGCCCATGGATCCAGGAGTAATTTCAACTTTCAGTAATTTCAATCTTATTTAAGACATACATTTCGTAAGGATATCGGTGCTATCGATAGTGATGCCTCTGATGGATCTGGGCAAAGAAAATGGAAAACCTCCTGGAAAGGATTCACTATTCCTAGATGCCATTGTGAACGTTTGTGATTCATGGGAAGAGGTCACGATATCAACATTAACAGGAATTTGGAATAAGTTGGATCCAGTCCTCATGGATGATTTTGAGGGGTTCCAGATTTCGGTGGAGAAGTAGCTGTGGATGTGACGGAAACAGCAAGTGAACTAGAATTAGAAGCAGAGCCTGAAGATGGGACTGAATGGCTGCAACCTCATGATCAAACCTGAACGGATGAGGAGCTGCTTGTGATGGATGAGCAAAGACAGTGGTTTCTTGAGATGGAATCTGCTCCTGGTGAAGATGCTGTGCGGACTGTCAAAATGACGACAAAGGATTTAGAATGTTCCAGAAACTTAGTTGATAAAGCAGCAGCAGGGTTTGAGAAGTTAGATTCCAATTTTGACAGAAGTTCTACCGTGGGCAAAATGCTGTCAAATTGCATCACATGCTGTAGAGAAATTGTTTGTGAAAGAAAGAGTAAATCAAGGTGGCAGACTTCACTGCTGTCTTAAGAATGACAGCCACAGCCACCCAACCTTCGGCGGCCACCACCTCGATCAGTCAGCAGCCATCCACATCGAGGCAGGACCCTCCGCCGGCAGAAACATGATGATCTGCTAAAAGTTCAGATGATGGTTAGCATTTTTTAGCAACAAAATATTTTTAATTAGGTAGGTGCATTGCTTTTTTTTTTTTTTAATTTTTTTTTTCAACGTTTATTTATTTTTGGGACAGAGAGAGACAGAGCATGAACGGGGGAGGGGCAGAGAGAGAGGGAGACACAGAATCGGAAACAGGCTCCAGGCTCCGAGCCATCAGCCCAGAGCCCGACGCGGGGCTCGAACTCACGGAGCGCGAGATCGTGACCTGGCTGAAGTCGGACGCTTAACCGACTGCGCCACCCAGGCGCCCCAGGTGCATTGCTTTTTAAGGCATAATGCTTTTGCACACGTAGTGGACTACAGTATAGTGTCAACATAACTTTTACATGCACTGGAAAACAAAAAAGTTTATTTGACTTGCTTTACTGCGATCATCGCTTTATGGCTATTACAGTGTTCTGGAACGTAACCCGCAATATCTCCTTGGTATGCCTGCACCCTCTGCTAGGGTGCCATCGATGTTATTGGGTCCAGTATTGGGTGTGAGCATCATATTTACTGGCCTAAAAGGACTGCTGTGCTGTGGTTGGTACGTATTTGCCTTGAAGGCTGTGCGGAGACCTACATTTTCATGTGGGGATTAAGGAGAATTGTTTTATTTTATTTATTATTATTTTTTTAAATCTTTATTTTTGAGAGAGAGCGCACCAACTGGGGATGGGCAGAAAGAGAGAGGGGAGGGGCAGAGAGAGCGGGAGACAGAGGATCCAAGCAGGAGCTGCGCTGACAGCAGAGAGCCTGATGTGGGGCTCGAACCCACCAACCATGAGATCATGACCTGAGCTGAAGTCTGCCGCTAAACCGACTGAGCCACCCAGCCTCGCCAAGGAGAATAATTTTATATGAAAGTGATCTTAGGTACACAGCTGTAAAGAACAGCAGATTGAGAACAAGAAGGTGTGAATATATTTTTCCATATCGTGATTCTCCCTGGCTGCCACCTGTGTGATCAGGTCACACCCACTGCCACCTTCCCCACAGACCCAGCACAGTGCTGGAATATCGCAGATGCATAATAAGTGTTCACCGGGGGACCCAAGCTTGGAGGCGTGGAGATTAAGGGAACCATTAAAAGCCAAACCTGACAACCCAGCACAGGAGCAACTAATTTGAGGTTCTGCCGAGTGCAAACACTTAGAAAATATGTGCTGGCGCTTAGGGCTCCTTAAAACTCAGCATTTGCATGTCATATAGACAGTCAAACCCTCTGCCTTCTTCTTGAGGATAATTTACTTCTTGTTTTAAGGTTTTTTTGTTCTTTGGAGGCATGTTAACTTCTGGAGTCTAGCCTTCAGGGGATAAAAAACAGATGAACAAACCAACAAAGTAGACATGGAGCCAGGGAGAGCGTCCCTGTTTATTTTATAAATTTTTTTTAATGTTTATTTATTTTTGACAGAGAGAGAGAGAGAGAGAGAGAGAGAGAGAGAGAGAGAGACAGATTGTGAGTGGGGGAGGGGCAGAGAGAGAGAGAGACAGACAGAATCCGAAGCAGGCTCCAGGCTCTGAGCTGTCAGCACAGAGCCCGTCGCGGGGGTCGAACTCACAGACCGTGAGATCATGACCTGAGCCGAAGTCGGACGCTCAACCGACTGAGCCACCCAGGCACCCCGTCCCCGTTTATTTTATATCTTACACAGCCACAGGAGTTCTTCTCAAATAAACCTCTTCCCCTTGGGCTCCGAATGCTAAAATATGCCATAACAGAAGCAGAGTCATTCCACATACTGCTGTTCTTTCTGAAGATGCCATAAAATTCCGAATTCTTTTCTGTGGGTCTGTCGTTGAAGAAAGCCCTTCCCCGGGAGTAAAATCACACCTCTGTGTTTCACATCTGTTCTTCTGGTTACTCCCCACAGTGGTTCCTTTTTCAACAGTTCTTTGATGCCCTAAATATACCGTTAAATATTATGCAAGCATTTTAAAGTTTGCTTGGGCCCATAAAAAGGGTCAAGATGATTTTAATAGCTGTAATTATGCATCCCAATGACCAACTTGCCATTAAGGAAGCTCCCAAGCATAGTGCCCGCCTTGGGACTGTAGGCCCTCCTTGCCCGTGCTCTCCCCGTTCTCCCTCCCCACGAGCGGGCACCAGATGCCTCGTGTGTCCTGAACTGGGCTTTATTTGAGCCTGACTTGCTGCTCAAATTAAACTGGGTTTAAATACGTATGTGTGTTTCCATGGTGGGAATTGCTTCACCGGGATATCTATTTTATTTATTTATTATTATTAGTTTTTAATGTTTATTTTTGAGAGGGAGGGAGACAGAGAGAGAGAGAATACAAGTGGGGAGGGGCAGAGAGCCCAGGGTGGGGGGCACAGAATCTGAAGCAGGCTCTAGGCTCTGAGCTGTCAACACGGAGCCCGACGCGGGGCTCGGACCCACCAACCGCAAGATCATGACCGAAGCCGGATGCTTAACTGACTGAGCCGCCCAGGCGCCCCTGGGATTTCTATTTTATTTTATTTTTTTCTTTTTTTTCAACTTTTTTTTTTTTTTTGGGACAGAGAGAGACAGAGCATGAACGGGGGAGGGGCAGAGAGAGAGGGAGACACAGAATCGGAAACAGGCTCCAGGCTCCGAGCCATCAGCCCAGAGCCTGACGCGGGGCTCGAACTCACGGACCGCGAGATCGTGACCTGGCTGAAGTCGGACGCTTAACCGACTGCGCCACCCAGGCGCCCCTGGGATTTCTATTTTAAATGCAGAGTGAACACACTGATAGATACACCTGTCAGAGGAGGGTATCTACTGCAGGTACAAAGGATTTTAAAAATACTTTAGAAAACTGCATGGGTTTAAATTTTTTAGCTTACTGCTTACAGACAGGGATCTGGGGGGCAGGGAACACAGAGAACTCAGTGACCCCTTGCATCCTTACTCATGACATCCTGGCTCCGACACTGCTCATCATCCTTAGAACACGAGTGACAGCTCGCCCAGTGAGAGGTAATTGGAAGTAGCTGGCACCCCTGGCTCATTTGACAGGAAGGGATGACCCACCAAGCAGTCGAGCTCCAGGGTCCCCTCTTCCCATCCCCCCACACGTCTCCTGTCCACTGCAGCCCCTTCTTAATAGCCCAGGGCACTTGGCCCACTTTGCTGTTTTGGCAGAGATGGAAAGAAGGCTTTCCCTTTCCTTTTTGATCTCATCATGCCACAGCTCATTGGATTTGTTCTAAGGAAAATTAAAGGGAAGCAAATGGAAATGTCCCCGGAATAAACACCTGTCAAAGTGAATTGCAAAATGTAAAAACTGATATGCTCCCAAAACCTGTAGTACATTTAATAGAAACGTATGGTTAGGAAACATATTCATCGACTACTAAGCCTAGTTTCAGGGTTCTATTTTTGTATGTTCTGTTCTGTTTTATTTTTAATAATGCAGTTTCCTAGGCACACAAGTTTGTATTATTTCCTTCACTCTGTCTGAGAAATCCTCAACCTGGGGCTTCAGGATGGTACTTTGCTTCGCTTATTTAAAGCCTCTGGGCTTGGGGCGCCTCAGTGGCTCAGTCGGGCGTCCGGCTTCGGCACAGGTCATGATCTCGTGGTTCCTGAGTTCGAGCCCAGCATCAGGGCTCTGCTGTCAGCATGGAGCCCGCTTTGGACCCTCTGTCTCCCTCTCTCTGCCCCTTCCCTGCTTGTGCACGCTCTGACTCAAAAATAAATAAACACTAAAGCTCCTGGGTTCCTCAGTTCCCAGACCTTGAGAGGTTGGCTCAGTGCCTGCCACCCAGGAGGCTCTCCCTATGTATTGCAGTAACGGCATGCAGAAATAAACTAGTGGCTTTTTAAAGCGTCCTTCCTCTGCTGTCCCCTGGTCTTCCCTTTCCTGTCTGGGTGTCTACAGCACATACACCTGCTGAATGTCTGGCGGGGTCAAGAACCTGGTCAGGGGGGTGCAGTGCCAGTCATTTCTGGCCTATACAGGTCACCACCGCCGACTCCAGTCGCTTCTCAGTGCATGTTCTCAACACCATCCTCTCTTGGCTTTCCCCCCGGGAGTTCTTCTCTAGAGTCATTTTGACCCAGCAGTCACCTACGGCAAGGGTTCCGGTAACTGCTGGATTAAAGTAAGAATCGTCCTTGTCTTCTATTAAATGCAGATATGCTTGATGAAAGGTCAGCGTGTTTGCTCTTTCAGCAGCTGACCACTCATTTGCTTAAGAGAGCATCCAAGTGCAGTGCAGATAATTTCCAAGGCCCCTTACGTTTGTATTTTTTCCTAGTAAAAATTTCGATCGGGATAGGAAGGTCAGTGGGAATGTCAGGCTCACTGCTTACGACACGTGGCATTACACTGAACCAGTGATCGAATCTTCCCCAGCAGATTCTTAATGTACTTGTTCTGTCGTCCTTCTTGTCTTTTACCCCCAACTGCAGGTTCGTGTGCAGCTTGGTGTATTATGGCCTCACTCTGAGTGCAGGTGATCTCGGCGGAAATATTTATGCCAACCTGGCCCTGTCTGGCCTCATAGAGATTCCTTCTTACCCTATCTGCATCTACTTGATTAACCAAAAATGGTGAGTATAGACGAGTATGAAGCAGACTACGTAGAATACGTATATACACATGCTCTTATATCCATAAATACTTAAAGATTTTTGTCTTTGTCCACAGCTAGTATCTGTTAAGCACGCGATGGTGATTTATTCTCAGACCAAATGCAGTTAGAATTCATTTTTTAGGGTGGCATTTCTTGGGTTTCATGTTTGTGACTTTTTACGTAGGTGTTCAATCCAAATGCACTACCGCCAGAAGGTTTTTGAGTAGCCTGTGTGTCATTTGTTAGCCCCAACAGATAGGAGTATTGGCTCTGTGTAGATAGAACTCCATGGACCCAGCCCCTGTCACGTGCACATTCCTTCACCAGGCATAGAACTGGAGAGCCTGGAAAGACTTTTCTTCCCTCTTAAGACCCACTCGACTTTGTTGAGGGGAGGAATACGCCCTCCTTTTGCTTCTCATTGTCAGTGGGCAGTTTTACAAGGCCCTTTCAAAACTCTTTGACAAAGTTCCTTTTACTCAGTTTCCTGGGGTCACTTCTGTTCCTGAGCGCCTGACCAGGACAACCGAAAACCCCATTCTGTACGAACCAGGAATCTGCTGGATCGTGCCTTGTCCCACTACCCAGAAACCATCACTCAAAGCAAAACAGCATTCCTTGGTGCTGTTGTCATGAATGGCATGCTTAGTGCCTTCCAAAGGGCAAGTTTGGATTCTGTTCAGTGGAACCCTTTCTCTGGGGGCAGTCCCAGTTGTCTCTGCCGACCTCTCTGTTAGTGACCAAGCTTGCGGTCAGTGCTGGTCCAAGAGCCGAGTCAGGCTGCAAATTCAGAAATCCGTCCCCAACCCCTCCGGTGTGCCAGATGCCCCTCCTCTGTGCTGTCACAGCTGCCCATGCGCACCTCTGAGGACGACTGAAGGTTTAGAAGGGTGCCATCCACGGGAGTTCCCTGTGTGGCTTTGCCTCCCCACTGCCTGCCTAGCGTGGTGCCTGTCCGCTGAAGGGCGTTCAGTACTGGTGTTACATGAAGCACAGTGTGACCTGGGGACCCACGTCCTGTCCTGTCTCCCAGCCGCTGCCACTGAATTCAAATCTGGTCCTAGCCACATGTTAGTTTTACGGCTTTAACAAGCTCAGTAAGCTGTACTTACCCTCAAACTAGGGATTATAAAATTCCCTGGCAAAATTGTCAGAAAAGTTACAGGTGCTACCAAAGGTCCTGCAGGGGACCTAGCGGGTCATAGGCTCCTCGTGAAGGGAGGCTTGTCACTGCCAGCGTCTTTCGCCCAAGCCTCAAGCTCTTCTTTGAAAATGATTTCCCTTCATAAAGCGTGCCATAAATTTCACTTGATTCTGACGTACTAACAAGAAATTATTTTCAGTTTGCATTTTTAAGAGAGAGGGGCTTGTTTTACAGTGTTGAAAATTTGAAGTGCTTGGGGCGCCCGGGTGGCTCAGTCGGTTAAGCTTCCGACTTCGGTCATGATCTCGCGGTTCGTGAGTTCGAGCCCCGCATCTGGCTCTGTGCTGACAGCTCAGAGCCTGGAGCCTGCTTCGGATTCTGTGTCTCCCTCTCTCTCTGCCCTTCCCCTGCTCATGCTCTGTCTCTCTGTCTCTCAAAAATGGATCAATGTTAAAAAAAAATTTTTTTTTAAATAAATAAAATAAAATAAAATCTGAAGTGCTCAAGATTTCAGTACCGAGGAAAGGAAGTGAGTTGGGAGACTCCATTCTCTATGTTTTATTTTCATTCTCTGGAAGACGGAGGGCACAGCACATGCCTTATAGGTTTATTTTGAGGACTAAGTAAAATGCTCGACAGAAAGCAGTCAGAACCACCCGGAACAGAGTGAACCCTCAGGAACAGAGCGATTCTGTTCTTCTCCTGCACACGTCGTTTGATGCTGCCATCCAGCTAGTTCTTTGCGTTGTGATGGTCACATATTCTATGTCCTGGTCAGTCCCATTTGCCACCCATTCCTTAATCAAAGACGAACGTATATAATGCCACTGGGGACGTTTCAGGAAGGAGGTTCAGGAGAAGCCGCAGATGCGTTTACAAGATCCCCAAGAGAAATGTGTCATTTCTTTCCATTGTTTAGGTGTGGCCGGAAGCGGACCTTAGCAGCATTTCTGTGCCTAGGAGGACTGGCTTGTCTTATTGTGATGTTCCTTCCAGAAAAGAAAGGTAAGCCTTTCAGATTTCTACATAAGGGTTCTGAACGGCGCTTTTATTACAATGAATCCCAATATCGCGGAGAGATTACCATATGCCATGCTTCATTTCTGTGATTGCATATTATTTAGCGATTGTGTGGAGCATAATGGGCCAGAATCTTGCCCGTTGCCTAAACTGTTCTCTGGGTGAAATAATGTGCTTAGAGGTGCGCTATTAATTCTTGCGGGCGATTAAGCCACCATCTGGGGCGTCTGGGCTGCAGCGCTGGTATTAGAGTTGCTTATTTGCTGATGGGGAGGACCATGTAGTTCTGCAGAGAGAAACTCCATCCAGGGTTACAGATTGCACTCCCCGTTCCAGCCAATCACAGATCAGAGGTCAGAGATGCTGGTTCTCAACGGCACCCTCAGCACCTCCATCCATACTCCCAGGGCACCCTGATAACAGCAGCAACAATATGAGTAGTGTTCACGGTTGGTGATGCCTGACATTTTCTCATTCTTATATAAAAGTGTGAACAAAACAGCTTTAGGAAACTTTGGCATTTTTATATATTTGTGGCTGTGTAAACATAGCTGCAAGAAAAGGGTCCCTTTGGCATCCTGATTTCTTTCCCTTTATAGAAAGTGTATAAGAGTGATGGTTCTCAACCTTTTTTTTTTTTTTTTTTTTTTTTTTCTTGCACTAACACATGTGAGGCCTACTAGCTAAAACGTCAAAAAACTGATTTGGGTAGTGGTTTTCTTTTCTTTTTTTAAAAAAAAATTTTTTTTAACATTTCATTTATTTTTGAGAGACAGAGCACAAGCTGGGGAGGGGCAGAGAGAGGGAGACACAGAAGCAGAAGCAGGCTCCAGGCTCCGAGCTGTCAGCCCAGAGCCCGACGCGGGGCTCGAACTCATGAACCGTGAGATCATGACCTGAGCTGAAGTTGGAGGTTTAACCGACTGAGCCACCCAGGCGCCCCATGGGCAGTCATTTTCAACAATGAGGAGCGGGCCGTAACAAACCCGGTGCTGCTGGGGGCATACGGTATAGCAAAAGCCCTGTTTGGGGAGCTTTTGGATCTTAATGGGGCCCCATCCTGGAGCTTTTACTTCAGGTCGGAATCATTGTGAGGCGGTTTCACAGCTACTGGAGTTTGACAGCTACTAGAAAGGCAGCTGGAGAATGTCTTTCCTGATAGCAAATCACGTATGAAACGCACCTTTGGCCATTGCTTCTCCTCGAGGTTCAGTTGTACCAGTGCCCCACTGCAGACCCCAAAGCCTCGTGTTCTAGTTCTGGAACCCTCCACGACACCCGCTATGCTGCCAGTTGCCACCTCAAGTTCTGTGCCTCGAATCCAGAGGGCAGTTTGTTCATGACTGTGGATTTGACCCAGTTATTTGACCCAGCCTTAGAGTGATTTTCATGGAATCGCAGAAACTAGAGAAGTGAGTAAGTTTGCTTGTTTTTTATTGTCTAAGGAAACTGTCACCTTTGCTAGTGCCGGGAAAGGGAGACCGTCCTCAGCTGCTGCCCTGCCGTGGGCTCGTAGAATTAAGTGCCCGGTTCTGTTGGTCTGGGACAGACAGTAGTGGTTTCAAACCATCATACTGTGGCTTTAGATTCAGCTTTTGTTTTTCATAGACACCTTGGAAATTCAGTTGCTTTCTATCTCTAAAAGTCCATTGTTCTATCTGTCACCTTGGAGAGAAAAATGTTTCCTTGTTGTTCTAAGCACACCTGTCACCTCTCACACTTCTGCCAGCCAGGCCAGTTTATGTCCTTCCCCCTCTTGCCCATCTGTGCACTCCAGGGAACCCCCACCCCGACACTCTGCACGGGGCCCTTTCTACAGAAACCTAAGTGAAAGCAGGTGTGTGGTCTCCATTCAGACCCACCCCACTCTCTCCTCACTTCAGGGCCGTCATGAGAGAAAAAGCTCAGTGGGGCGGGCGCCTGGGTGGCTCAGTCGGTTAAGCGTCCAACTTTGGCTCAGGTCATGATCTCACAGTTAGTGGGTTTGAGCCCTGTGTCGGGCTCTGTGCCGCTGACAGCTCAGAGCCTGGAGCCTGCTTCAGATTCTGTGTCTCCCTCTCTCTCTGCCGCTTCCCCACTCATGCTGCATGCTGTCTCTCTCTCTCTCTCTCTCTCTCTCTCTCTCTCTCTCTCTCAAAAATAAATAAATAAATAAACATTAAAATTTAAAAAAAAGAGAGAGAGAGGAAAAGTTCAAGCCCTTTGTTGATTGTGCCCCTTGGTGGACTGTGAATAAGAAACAGCATAACAGGGAATCTTTCAGACCCCAGGAAAGCGCCTCACCAACATGGTACCTCTGTTGTCCTTAGAAAAGTGGACGTCTACTCTATTTTTTGAAGATTTCCAGGGGGAAAAAAAAATCTCACACTGTCCCTTAGAAAATTGTTTCTATTTTTAATAGCCATTAGAGTGGGCCTCTTCTGTCACCACTGAGTCCATTTCTTTTCATTTTATTCATCACTAGGGCGAGAGGACAGGTGGCCACCCCCTTCTTTTGCATAATCCTTCCTGTGTTTGCCAGGAGTCATCTTAACTATTCCTGAACCTTTCTCTTCTTTGAGCTGAAAACATTTGTTCTCTAAACGTTCTTTGAACCTTTCCTGTTTACTTCTTAAAATATTTCGACGGCCCTCTTGTAAATCTCAGTGTTTTCAAAGTGCTCAGCCTTAAGCTGCCGGTTCCAGAAGTTCTGATAAATATATATTAAGAAGGACACCTAGTAGTTGGAAAAATTTTATTAGCATCTTGTCAGAACTTTTTGTAACCATTTTCCCCTCAATTTTTCCTGCCACATATATATTCCCTCTCTTCTTCCAGCCAATTTAAGTGTCCCAGTACCTGCCAACTGTTTTTTAGTACCTGAGTATGATTGTGGTTCTCTGTGTCTGAGGCACAGACCGACAGACGGACAGGCACACCCCTAGAAGAAACAGCCAGTAAGTTAGAAAACAGATTGCTTGGCGTCCCTCGGCCTGTGGTTTATAATTATTAGGCAAAGTGTCCTGCCCAGTGCATATTTGCACGTTGGGTGGCCTCCAAGTAAATGTTCTCCCTGGGGGTAGAGTCACCAGGTGGCTACTAACGCATTTTACCTGACTTCTATCTTTGCTTAAAGGATCCTAATTAAACCTACAATACTATCATTTATTAAGGGTTAACTGTATACTGGGTTGTCTTCATCTAGAGAAGATATTAGGTATTACCCCCATTTTATAAGGAAGCTAAAGTTCAGATAGGTCAAGCAACTTACCTAGGTTTGCACAGCAGGTAAGCAGCACACCTAGGATTCAGATTTCAGATCTTTCTGATTCTAAAATCAGTGCCTTTGGGGGAGTGCTGATTTGCCATCTTGGAGTTTTACAGCCAACGTATTCATTGCACATGGTGAGACTTTTGTCTTAGAGAATTAACGCTGCCTGATTAGAGTCAGTTCTTAACTCTTCAGCAGATAGGTCTGATGGGAATTGGCCAGGGTTCAAGAACCTGCACTGTCAGACTGACTGACACTGGGCTCTTACTGGCAAGGAGGTTGGTGCCTGGCAGTTACGGTCCTGCCAGAGTCTGAATACTAGGAAGTCACAGCACACGACCAGATAAACAAGTTTCATAGTTGAAACATTTCAAGGTGCTCCACTCTGAGCACCTCTCTATCTCATTTCTTTTATCTATCTTGATCTGCCCATTCTATTCACTTGACTTCTCTTGTGCTGGCCACGTACAGGACACAATTCATAAACAAGACCTAGTCCCTAGGCCCTAAGAGCTTACAGTCTGGTGAGAAAGATGAGTGATTAGAGAGAAGCAACAACAGTAAAGTCAGAAGGTGCCATGTGAGAATCGACACGGCAAAACACTATGGGGACTTCAACTTTGGACCATGATAGGAATGGAGACCAGCTATCCTCCTGTGTTAAATAGCCATAAAACCAGACAAATATAAAAAACTCTGATTTTTCAGACACTGGACAGCAGGCTGTCCAGGAAAGACAGTGATCCCCGAGGGGAAGGAAACAAAGTGCTCCCCAAGACTGACCTAACCCAGGGTGTCCAAGTCATGGTGCAGGGACAGGGAGCCCAGCACTGAACTGAGAAGACAGTATTAAAACCTGGGGAGGCCACGATTTCTAGAATTCGCTAGAAAAATGACTGAAGAGGAGTAAGATACACAGAGGATGAGCTCCAGAGATCTGCAGAAGGGGCCTCTGAGTCTTAGGCTGCTTCCTGATTTGTGCAGGAGTTTGAGGAAACCACTGAGGCCAGAGAGAGGACCACGAGGAAGCAGCATTTGGAATAATTCTTGGAATCCAAGGCCATGCCTAGTTTGTGTTCTTTTCAGCCAGATGTGCAGCATTGAGTAGAGACCTCCTGGGTCAAAGTAGCCCTACGCTAAAGACCTTCTCTGCATGTCCTCACAGTGCTTTAAAAATCTTAGAAGGATCAAATGATTCAAAGTAACAGCATCCCCTCAACAAAAAAAAAAAAAAAAAAAAAAAAAAAAAAGCCTCCCCCAAAAAACAAAGAAGAAAAACAAAGTAACAGCATCCCAGAACAAAGAGCAGTCAAGGAAGACAGTAAAATCCAGCACCGTCATATCCACAGTGTATGGCATCCAGCCAAAACTACCAGGCAGGATAATACCACCTATAACCAGGAAACATATCAATAGAAACAAAACCAGAAATGACCCAGATGATAGAATGAGGAGACAAGAACTTGAAAACAGCTATTATCAAGATGTTCCACACATTTAAGAAGATAGAGGAAAGCATGATCATCATGAACAGAGAAAGAGAGGATAAAAAAAAAAAAGACATCGTGTGACATCTAGAAATGAAGCATATGTTATATGAAAAACAAATCCAGTGAATGAGATTAACCACAGAAGATCACTGAAAAAGACATATCTAAAGAAACCATACAGAATGAAGCAGAAAAAAATAATTGAATGAAGAGTTAACAAGGTATCAATGAGTTATAGGGCAACA